TATATATATATATATATATATATATATATATATATATATATATATATATATATATATATATAAAATGTGGGGATAGTCACTAGTGTAATTACACTTCTATTTTGAGGAGGTAGGTTAAATGACAATTTTTCTGTACGGTAACTAAACACTGTAGACCACAGTGGGCAAAATATTACAGTTTTAATACTGTAGTTTATGCATGATTAGATTTACTTACATAGCAGGTTTGGATTAACTTAGCTTGACATACAATTCAGTAGTATCTCAAAACCTTTTCAACTGTCCATTTTTGAAGATAATGTTCCAGCAGTTACAAATTACAACTGTGAAGATCTTGGCAAAGAAAGAGATGAGTGTGTAAAAGAGTTACTTTCACCTACTTTGGTGGGCATTGAAATAGACCAAATTTTAAACAACATCCTGTCATTCTGGACTGTTCCACATAATTATTGTTGACAGAAAATGTGGACAGAAAAGAGACATAATTCGAGATACTGGGAATATGTACTTCCTAGCCAAGTTGTCTTTGTTACTCAAAGAAGCACCACTATAATATATATATTGCACTACAATTACTATCTAAAGGACTGCTCTTTCTCTCTCTTTGGGCATCGGTGTTCAGAACCATCTGCTAGCATGGTTATTGCTGGGAGATGAATTTCTCACAATACCGAAGTAGTTAAGTTTGGGAAGTGCTGATCGGGAAGCCCACATAGATGTTGCTAATAAATGTAAAATAATGTTTTCACTCATCTTCAACAAGAAGAAAACACTAGTTAATCCATTTCTTTTGTTTAAAATAGGTTGATACCATGCTAAAGATGGGCTTCCAGCAGCAGGTCTTAGAAATTCTGGAAAATATTCCCAACGATCATCAAACCCTCTTGGTGTCGGCCACGATGCCTTTAAGCATTGAACAGCTGGCGAGCCGACTTCTGCAGAATCCAGTCAAAATAACAGTCGGAGAAAAGAATCTGCCGTGTTCCAATATTCGCCAGATTATTTTGTGGATAGAGGAGCCTTCCAAAAAGAAAAAGCTTTTTGAAATATTAAATGTTAGTACCCTCATGGAAATGCACGTCTTTGTTTCTTTTCATCAACCATAGATATTTGGGGGGGGGATGTTCTGATTATTGCTATAATCAGTTTTGTTTCTGGAAATGCAGCCATTAAAACCATAAATCTATTCCTCTTGGGCAATTTCTCTGCTGAAATATTGATAGCATCAATCTTATTAGTTATATAGACTTGCATATTACTGCATGTACGTATGTATATGTATACACGTGTGTTTATATGGGGATGTGGGTGGGTAGGTGTGCCTGAACCTGTGACGGTGGAAGCCATTTTAATTAAGTAACAACTAATATTCAAAGAATTATACCATACTCCAAGGCATTTTGGCTACGTTTGAATAGAAATCATGCTATGCTATGCTATACATAGTTTTCATAAGAAAAGAATTTATATTGTGGCATGTTTCCTTCATAAGAAACTAAAACATATAACCTTTGGGCTGTGAGAATTTAAACAGCTCTTGTCAAAATACTTAAATCCTCATGGTGTTAAAAGCATTTTTACAAACTATAGTAATAGAAAATAATTACGGATATTTGCATTCTTTTTAACTATTCAAAAATATTTGAAACATTATTACTTCAGCCTTAGTAATACTGGAAAATAGTTGGATACTTCCTTTGCTTTATTTACCACCACTAAATCTCACACTATTCCATTTATCTTTTTTGGGGGTACATAAATTAATCTTTTTTTAACCTTATGCTCACTGTGGTCTCCCTGTCTCCCTCTTTTTTTAGGATAAGAAACTCTTTAAGCCTCCAGTACTGGTATTTGTGGAATGTAAATTGGGTGCTGATCTTCTGAGTAATGCTGTTCATAAAATCACAGGTTTACAGACAACGTCAATGCATGCTGAGAAATCACAGTCGGAAAGAACTGCAATTCTACAGGTCTGTAAACATCTGAGGCCTATCTAAAAAACTAGTTAAATCTATGATTAAAGAACTCTAAACAAGGTTTTCCCAAAGTGGCTTGAGCACCTCTGAGGTTCTGCAAAATCAAAATATTTCAAAAGTTCTCAGTTTTAATTTCTAATATAGTAAATATCGATACAGTAGCTACAACCCTTATAAACCAAAGCTCTTTGGGGTTCTCAGTCTTGAGACCAAACTATTTGAGAACTGTTCCTCTAGACACAGTACACTATTAGACAGAGAGCTTGAGATTGACCCCTTAGTGAGTCTACTTTTAGATGAAAGTTATCTTTCATATCACAAAATATATCTGAAGATCCATTGTGTTGGCTAAAGCAGCTATGGAATCATGTTTTCAACTTTATAAAATTACATAGACACTTCTTTTTCCTTGTTGTTCATCTATTGTTTTTGTTTTCTTCGAAATGTATTTTTTGGCTGATGCCTTTGTAATTTTGAAAGGTATATCTCTCTTGATGACAATAATGATTATATTTCTCTTGTGCTAGGGATTATTGCAAGGGAAATATGAAGTCGTAGTAAGTACTGGAGTGCTTGGGCGTGGACTTGACCTTGTCAATATTAAGCTGGTGGTGAATTTTGATATGCCATCTAGCATGGATGAATATGTGCACCAGGTAAATACACTTTCTGATTTAAAAGGCGTAGTGTAATATTGAATCTTTAAACAAAAAAAAGCAAGTCTCGTTGCTCAAAAGACCTACAAAGTGCTTGATGATACAAAATGGACTGCGGAGGAAGGACTTTTCAAATTAGAAGTTCACTCCTGAGTATGTTACACATTTTAAAGAGTGCCTAAAGAGCTATATTCCGTGTTCTGTCCCCCTTTCTCCGCTTGTTAAACAGACGACAGGCAAACAAACTTAAAAGGAACTCTCTTTATCAGTTCTCGGCTCAAACTGGCTATGAGCCCAAAATTAACATAAATAAAGTCTCAGACTAGATAACAGAATAGCAAACAAAAACTCTTACAACTCAATGTACTTCTCCAAGTGTATCCTTGAATCAGGCTTACAGAAAACAAAGCACTTTTCCAAGTGTATCTTACATAAACCACGACTGATGATCAATCAATGTTGAACGAACCAAGGAACGTTGACTCCTGC